AATGTGCAGTCTGAACTTGTTCAATGTCACAGAATGGGCTCTGTAATCAAAAGCGCGTTTTATAACACTCACACCTGCTATTAACATCCTCCAATCACTCATGAAGTCAGAGGCCCTCCCCTCGAATCCATCAGACCAGAGCTCCTCGCGTGTTAATATGGTTTGTAAACAGCCCCTTAATTAGCTTCACCTCTGAGACTCTCCTGCATCAACAGATGGCAAACATGCGATTCGGGAAGTGCTTCTGTCACAAGCCAGCGCAAGAGAGATTTGCTTTATAGGGCTGCAACAAATAATGTGTGTACTTGATAATAATCAATCAAACTAATCACATTTTTGTGATGCGCATCCGCCAGTCCCGTTATTTTACAGCAGCGAATAACGCACTTCTATAGACAAAACGCATCGGAGGACACATAATGAGCTGGTCCTAAACAAAATAAAGCTTGATATTAAATCAAATTCTCAAGCATTTAACACGTTTAGCTGTCAGGCGTTTTGACAGACGCAAGTGCGCTTTAATGCATCCGAGTCGTGCTTTCCCAGCACATAACTTACATTTGCAGCTTGTATCCGTCTGTAAATGTTAAAAAGTAACACGAGAGTTTCCATTCTGCTTAAAGGACAGTAGTCTTGTTAAACTTCACAGGCTTCAGTCAATGAGCGCATGTGCGTCAAACAGACAGAGCGCTGTAATTCTGATTAAAATATCCACCTTATTTTTCAAAGTTTTCTGTGAACGTGCGAGGCTTCCGGTTGATTAGCCGCCGTAGGGAAATAGCGAGAAGAATAAAAACCTGCAGTAAACGGTAAAACTGTTTGCACTACAAACCAGTGTATTCATAATTAAGATAATACATTAAAATAACATGGTAAAACACACCAGTTTGCAATATCCAGCTGTTATGACACCGGAAGCCAGACACATTATATTTACAAATGACCGCGCCCGCTCCTACGGGAAAAATAAGGTGGATAAGTCTGCATTAAATTAACATTAAATTAGGGATTAAAATGCTACGCTTAACCCAAGTTCTTGTATTGTCATGAGGACAGTAACTGTAAATGGACTATTGTTATATAAATGTAAAATAATTCAGTCGAGTGATGTATGCAGCAAAAACGTTTCCATTAGTTCATTATTTATCAAAGAGTCTGGAATATGTGCCTTAAGTTCAGTCATCTTCGACATGCAGGAGACATGCTAACAGACTCTATCATTTGGGTGTGAAGACCTTGTTAGGATGCAGTCAGAGATCCATCAGACATTTCATCTGTGTTTCTCAGTGAATGTGGATGAATGGTGACAAGAGTACAAGAATCACACATTAGTATATCAATTCACAAAAAGCATAGCCTGCTGAAATTGAGATCTGATTTCCCACGGGACATCACAGCATGTCAGACGGAGGCTACAGATCGGCTCAGCATCAGGGATCTATTGTAAAGCTCGTCAGTAAAGGAGGCGCGCGTTAGAAAGCCCAGCATGTAAAGCGGACCGAGTGAACGATGGCAAGTTTTCCATCATATTCAGAAAAGTGCTCAGTGTTGCCTCTGTGATGATTTTAGGAGAATCAGACCCCATTAAATATCCTCCAGCTCCCGACAGATCCAGCATTCGCATCTGACTGCTCAGAAAAACACCAGCACGCCTCAGCGAGACTCGCCACACGAGGATCCTTACCCTTTACAGTATAAACGTGAGGGACGAGGAGAAATTTAACAAGGGCTTTGTTCATAATTCAACTCTCAGCTGTTCCTGCAACCTCAGTCCTTCTCAAAAATGCCTCATTTTTCTCAGCTACAGCTTTTGTTACTACAGGTTTTCTTTACTTCTAGAAGCTATTTCTGTCCATGGGCTTGTAGAACAAGACATTTTATTGTCAAGAAGCACTGCAGCTGCTTTATTTGAGAAATAAACTTTGAGTCTTGATTTTGTCTCTAAAGTGGATCGTATGATTCACGCTTATTGTTTAAAGATGCAACTGGCCACAAGCCATATAACCTCACTCCTAATGAAACGCTTTTGCCTTTAGGAACAGGCTGTATTTTATAAACTGAAGAGAAACCTCCATTATAATTCAGGACATGTCACAGAGCTCGGTGTGATGATTTCTCTGATGAATATGATGCCAAACTAAAGAAGACATTTAGACGTTATCAGTGTAAATAATGCAATATTTTAAAATGCTGCTGTATAGTTTCACACTCATTTCTGTACTATTCACATAGTAATTTGTGAGCCTGGAGCACAAAAGCAGTGTTAAGTCGCTGGGGTATATTTGTAGCAATAGCCAACAATACTTCAAATATTTGTATCTCGGCCAAATATTGTCCTATCCTAACAAACCATACATCAATGGAAAGCTTATTTATTCAGATCTCAATACATCATCTGAAATGAACCCTTATGACTGGTTTTGTGGTCCAGGTTCACATTTGTGTAGTTGTCCAGTCCATCATTTCTGTCTGTCCTGTTCAGTCTCTCAGCATGATTATCTGCATATTTATTTCCAGAATGTTGACACTCTATAAATGTGCAGCACTTTGGCTTGTTCTCTTTGTCTTTCAGCCTTCCATCCCCATTAATCCCTAGAATCCTCACGACCCCCGAACACACAAAGACGCAGGCGCGTGTTTGAGAACCAACACGTCCCTGTAGATCTCGCAGGTCTGGATAAGAAAGATAAAGCTGAGAACACAAGACCTCACGCTTCTCTCCTCACACAAAGAACAGCGGCCGCTCTTCATAAACATCAAAACACCAGCAGAAAACAGAGTTGAAATGAAGGCTCTCGCACACTTTACATCCAGCGCTTCAGATATTGTGACAGTAAAATTAAGAAAACAGAGACCTGTGGCATCCCTCTACACTTTAAGTCGCAGCTTTGTGTTTACATGAGCAGAGTGGGATTGTCTTGATTACAGGTGTTGCGTGTAATGTGTTGATCCAGAGTGTGTCTCTCTTATTCACATACTGTATACTGTGGCTGCGCTGCACCTGTTGTGCTCTTGTGAGTTGTTTGTGAGAATCTAGCGGTTTTGGCCTCAGGATAAACCACCCACACATGAGCGCTGGGATCACACGGCACAGAAGAACGGAGAAAAGTGGAATAGAGCCGTTCAACTTCACATCAATACTTGTGCTCAGTTACATAAACACAATCATCTCACTCACACACAGACTGCAATCTGTTTTCACACGCAGCAGCTGTGCTTTTGCATCCTTACCTGCAATGAAATGTGCTTTTAAAAGGTTTTTTTTTTTTTTTCCTCAGACCAGGGTTATTAGAGTTACCTAAAAACTAAAACAGACAACTAAAATGACTAAAACCATTTTTTTTTAAATAAACAAAATGAAATAAATTATTAAAAATATGTATATTTCTGCTAGTTGCCGAGGCAACATTTCTTTCTCATTTAACTTAACTGTACTAAAATAACTAAAACTACAACTATATAGACACAGATATGTATGCAAAACAAACAAAAGCTACTAAAAATGACAAAAAAAGACTCTAACTAAAAACAGAAAATATAAAAATAAAAGCTGATTCAAAATATTAGTATAATTACAATAGTATATAAATTATACTGAAATAACACTGTTACAGAGACCCTTAAAATGATAAAAAAAAAGTGTTCACCTGCGATTATTACCTTGAAGAGCCATTTTTAACCTGATCTACACTGAAAAGTCCTGGTGTAGGATTTACTTTGATAAATAATTACAAAGAAACACACTGAATGAAACATTTTGAAGTAGAAAGACTGAAATAGTGTAAAATGACTCCACTAATCTTTGTTTTATTTACAACGTCCGTTTCGATTCAGCGATCTTATTATTTTGACTTCACGGAGATGCGAAGCACATTTTAAACGTTTGTGCGTACTCTTTCCCAAGTTTACTGCAGAAGGAAGGAGAATGCCCCTTGTATTAACGAGGTCTCGGATCCGCCGGAGCCCTGTACTCACCCTGGTACTCCTGTCCCGGGACGTATGCGCCGGGGCTCCCGTGGATCTGGAAGGTGAGCGTGTTAGTGATTTGTCTCTCTCTTTAGCACTGTGTTTTGTCCAAGACAGCCTACCTTTGTCTTTTTCTTCTCAACTCCCTCCATCCCCCAAAGCGGATTCCCTGCTTTTCCACCCAAAGATCACACCTCCTCCTCCCTCCTCATCTCCTGTCTCTCCCCATCTCCCGTTCTCTGATAGGACCCTCTCGGCTCAGCCGCCTCTTTGTGCTCCATTCACTCATGTTCTTTCTTTTTGTTTTGCCTTCTCTCAGCTCTATTTCTCCGTGTATATCTCATTCTCCTTCACTTGAATGTTTCCTTTAAAATCAGACCTTCTCATCTTGTCTGTGTCTCTCAAACAGAGTCAGTTTGTGCCAGTAACACACACACACTCTCTCTCTCTCACACACACACACACACACACACACAC